TGGGGAGAGCGGGCGTGGGCAGGGGAGGGGGTGGTGAGGTAGTTGACAGGTGAGAAAGTGTAGGCACACAGGGTTGACTTGCTGGAGGTCACTTAGTGAGTTAGTAGCAGGGCCATCATTGGAACCAGGCCTTCTGGCTCCAGGTCCAGTCACCATGCTACGTGTCTCTCCCACACGCTAGGGCTGTGTCAGGCTGTCACGCATCTGACTGTGGTAGGAACAGCTGGAATGAACATCCACAGCCTGACCTCCAGCCTACGAGCATTTCCTACCCAGGGAGGAGTCTCACAGAGCTTGGAAGGCAGGGCAGCGGAAAAAAAAAAAAAAACAGCCATTGATTCATTCCACAAATAATTACCTAGTGCCCACTGGGTGCCAGGGGCCCATGCCAGGTATTTTGAATTGAAAATGAGTAAGACGTGGGCCCTGCCCTTTGGAAGCCCAGTCACACGAGGAAGACAGACATGCAAAACCGATCCTGAAGACACAAGATGACACGCGAAACCCAGGCGGCGTATGTGGAGTGCCGTCGGCACCAAGGTGGAGCAGGGGCCGGTGCACGGAGGAGGACACTGGAACAGCACACAGAGGAGCCTCCCCAGGCGGGTGGGCCCGGTCTGGAGAGGCAGGAATGGCAGAAAGGCGGCTTTGTGGCAGGAGGGGGCGCTGGGCAGTGAGCAGGCCTTGGATGTTGAACTCAAGGATTCTACAGGATTTCAGCTAAAGGCAGTGGGCAGCCCCAAGGCTTTGTGGGTATATCGGCAAACTCTCTCTGGTGGCATTGTGGCAGGGTTCTGAGAGACCTGAGATAAAAAAGGCCATTTTGGAAGACGTGGTGGTTATCTAAGAGCTGAGGTTGTTGGAAAGACGACTTTTTAAGCCCCAAATTAAGCACTCAGACAGAGAGAGGAGTAAGAGTCTGGGAGCAAGCCAGTCCATACCAGGCAGAGAAGCGGCGGCGTGAGCCCTGCAACGGGAATGGTGGAGCGAGCCGCTTGCATCTCCTGCGCTTCCTGCTTGGATCCTGTTTCCAGCCCCGCTGCTGTTTCGTGTGTGGCATGCACCAAGCTCAGTCACGCCTCAGGACCTGTGCTCACCGGAACGGCTGCCTCTGTTTGGAATGATGGCCAGGGCTTCATGTGGCCAGCCCACACCGGTCCCTCCCGGACAGCTCCAGGCCAGCTTCCCCACCTTGCCTCCAGTGCTGTTGTCCCGTTTACTGTCAGTCCTTGATGTTGTGTCTGGGTAGGTGGCCGTGTCTATCAGGACAGCAGCTCTTTAAGCACAGGAGCCCTGTCTTCTCACTCATTCTCATTGGCTAGAATGGAGCCCGGCGCACAGTAGGTGCCTGGTGGATACATGTGGCGTCAGTGAGCGGAAGCCGTGAGAGGGGCATGGAGGATGACCCCAGAGTTTCCAACTTGAGGGAGGTATATGTATATATTTTTTATTGCGCTTTGGGTGCAGATTTCTAAAGGTTTGTTTTATGTTCAGCAGTTCAAGCACATTTGATTTCCCAGCCCCGATTACCATCCTCAACCGTAAAAAAACTCCGCTCCCTCTGACTGCCCCATTCCTGTGCCCTTCGTATCTGCATTCCTGTCTGTCCAGCTTTCTGGAGAGAGATACTTTGAGGCTGGCTTTGGACTGATGGATCAAGGGGCTCGGGTTATCTGGGAGCTGAGATGGTTAGAAAGATGGTTCTGAGGGCCCCACCCTGAGCCCTCAGACCCTTGGAGAGGAACAGGAGTCTGTGGCATTCTTGAGCAAGCCAGGCATACCGCAGCCACCCCAGGGTGCGGGGAGATCGGGGCCAGGCCTGGTGTGAGGCTGGAGATGCACTGGGACGTGAACAGTGCAGGTGAGAGAAGGAGCCGGAGGCTAAGGCCCCCATGAGGCCCATGTTCTCAGACTGTGACCCCGAAGTCACCCATGTGGCCTTCAAAGGGAAAAAGTCAAGCAACGCAGGCCTTCTCAGGAAGCTGCAGGCTTTCAAAATTGCCAGGTGCCTTGTGGCCTCATCGTCACCTGCAGAGGTGGAGAGAGAGGGTCTCAGGCGTGCTCAGTCCCTCACCTTCCTCCTGAGGGGCCTTGGGTCAGCGAGACCCACTTCTCTCTGCCACCTTCCCAGATGATCGTCACCGGATTGAGGAGAAACGCAAGAGGACATATGAGACTTTCAAGAGCATCATGAAAAAGAGTCCTTTCAATGGTGAGAGGCAGCGTGGGGAGAGCGGGCGTGGGCAGGGGAGGGGCTGGAGGCGCTGAGAGCTGACCCAGCCCTGCCTGCAGGACCCACAGACCCACGGCCTCCGCCCCGGCGCATTGCTGTGCCTTCCCGCAGTGCAGCTTCCGTCCCCAAGCCAGGTAAGGCTTCTGTTTGTCCCCCGGGACTGCAGGTTCAGATCGGGTCAGTCTGTGGTTCTAACACCTGGAGGGAGGTGAGCTGAGGAACTGGCCCCGCCAGCAGGTGCTGGCTGAAGCCCGCTCTGGGTAGGCCCCTTTTCTCAGGGGTGAGGCCTGGTTACCTCTGTGAAAGCCGCCCACCTAGGGCACGGAGAAGGTGCCGCTTCCTGGGCCCTGCTGCAGACCTACCGAACCAGAGCCAATGGAAGTGCGGCCCAGGAGCCAGTAGCCCCTCGGGGAGGGGACGGCCGCCAGGTCAGAACCACTGATCGGTGACTGATGGAAGTCAGACACAGCACAGTCTGTCCTCAACTCTCAGCTGAATCAGGGCAACTAAATAGTCACCTCTAAAGGGACAGAATGCATATGCTGCTGGGTGGCTCATGAAACAGTGAGCCGGGGCACCTGTCAGGCCCCTCCTTGCCGGGGGCCCACTGGGCTCATCCCCTCTGGGGACTTGGTGTTCCAGCTATAAAGTAAGGAGGCTGGTCCCTGAAAGTACCCTTTCCTCTAAAAGCTAGCAGCACTCTTAGGAGGGGAGAACTGAAGCGCTTTGGGGGCCGCACTAGTCAGGGAGGGCCCCCAGGAGGAGGTGGGGCTAGAGCTGGACCCTAGAGGCTGGGTCAGGTTGGGGGAGGAGGAGGAGCTAGGGTGTTGGCAGTGACTCCACAGGCTGGGTTGATCCTCAGCACTACGGAGACGGAGACGGGGACGGCTGGAGTCCAGGGGTGGGTCTCGGGTTTTCTCTGACCCCACCTCTGTCTGTCTCTCTCCTCCAGCCCCTCAGCCCTATCCCTTTACGCCGTCCCTCAGCACCATCAACTTTGAGGAGTTTTCCCCCATGATGTTTTCTTCTGGGCAGATGCCAAGCCAGGCCCCGGCCCCGGTGCTGGCCCAGGCCCCTGCCCCGGCCATGGCGTCAGCTCTGGCCCAGGCCCCAGCTCCTGTGCCGGTCTTAGCCCCGGGCCCTGCTCAGGCTGTGGCCCCGCCAGCCCCCAAGGCCACCCAGGCCGGGGAAGGGACACTGACCGAGGCCCTGCTGCAGCTGCAGTTTGATGCCGACGAGGACCTGGGGGCCCTGCTTGGCAGCAGCACGGACCCAGCCGTGTTCACGGACCTGGCATCCGTTGACAACTCGGAGTTTCAGCAGCTGCTGAACCAGGGTGTGTCTATGGCCCCCCACGCAGCCGAGCCCATGCTGATGGAGTACCCTGAGGCTATAACTCGCCTGGTGACAGGGTCCCAGAGGCCCCCCGACCCAGCTCCTACCCCCCTGGGTGCCTCGGGGCTTCCCAATGGCCTCCTCTCAGGGGATGAAGACTTCTCTTCCATCGCAGACATGGACTTCTCAGCCCTGCTAAGTCAGATCAGCTCCTAAGCAGGGTGACAGTGCCCTGCCTGGAGCACCGGGGCGACAGGACTGAACCCCTCCCAAGGCACTTACAGATTGCGGGGTGCATGCTCCTACTCCTTTGGGCACTATCTTCAGGGGGCCACATTACTCTTTGGTCAGCAGTATCTATCTGTCTCTCTTTTTGGAGGTGCTTAAGCAGAAGCATTAACTTCGCCGGAGAGGGGGGAGCCGGAAGGGCTCCAATTCTTTCTTCCACTGTCCTCACGGTCCACTCCCTTCTCTCTGTAGAGAACTCTGCAGGCCCCCATCCCCACCCTCCAGCGTCTAGTACTCTCCTAGAGAGGAGGGCAGCCTGCAGCTGTGGCCTTCAAGGCTGCCAAGCCTTCTTATCAAGTGTCTTCCTCAAACCACGGATTGAGTTACACCTTGAGCCAAAGTAATGCCCAGTTCCTAGCCCCTCTGTGGGGCTAGCTAGTCCTTGTATCTTACACCAGTGTGAGGCCCCGGCCTTCTTGTCCGGCGGGGGTCCCTGTCAGGTCTTTCGTTGCTCGCCTGTAGCTGAAGGGAACTGATGGGACAGCTGGCCCTCTCCAGGATCCAGGGGGGTGGGGTGGTTGGTTCGAGCCACTCTTTCACCGTTTTCTCAAGTGCCTTAATGGTAGGGCAAGTGGTTTGGAGGCTGGAGGAGGGCGGGCTGGAGACTGTCCAGTCGGAAAGTGCAGTTTCTGCGGAAAAATCAAAGCAGCTAGACTCTTGCTCTTTCTACTCTGAACTAATAAATTGTCGCCAAGCTGGCAGAGCTTCGCCTTCTTTCAGCAAACACTGAGCGCGTGCTTTTTGCTGGTCATGTCGCACCTTGGTGGGAGCTGGGAGGATATGCACGTGGGACCTTGCTGACCGAGGGCACCTTTGGAAACCCCTGGTTATCTTCCAGTAGATGAAAGGAGGTAGTGGGGTGGGGGTCCTGGTCCCATGTGATGAGATCACCCAGCCGATTCCATGGCTGCAAGGATGGAGCACTTTGTGGGAGAGCTTCACAGAGACTTAGCCCCAGGCAGGCCTTAGGTCAACAGAAGAGGGGGGGATGCCTTGAGGGACCATCCAGGCGTCAGGAGGTGAGCGAGTAGGAAAGGCCTGGGAAAGTTCTCTGGGGCCAGGGTGTGAAAGATCCAGTAGGGGGCTCAAGAGGTTTGGATTTAACTTCCCAGGTGGGTAGAGGTACGTTTCAAGAAGAATTATGCCCACCCCACACGAGCTTAGACACACAGCTCTGGTGGTGGTGGTGGTGGTGGTGGTGATGTGCCGTCCAGTCGAGCCCTCCTTGGGTTTCCGAGGCAGCATCACTACGGAAGTAGACTGCCCAACCTTCCTTCCAAGGAGTGGCTGGTGGGTTCGAACCTCCAGCCTTCTAGCAGTCAAATGCCTTAGGCACTACGCTATCAGACTGGCTCTGACATGAGCGAAGAAACCGTCAGAAGCCTCATGAGGGCTAAACAAAGGCCAGATGGAGGCCCACTGGACGAGACTAAAGCTTACTTCCGGCTTAGTTGGGCGCACGCGCACTAAAGCAGGGTCAGGGAAAGGCCTTGGCCGGCCAGGCCCCGCCTTCTCTGGCGCGCATGCGTAGAGATAGCTTTCTGCGGCCGAGAACGCGGGTAGTGCATCTGAAGAAACCCTGTTCCGACGCCGTGCCTGGCGCTGTGTTCTTTCGAGGCTTTGCACCGCGGCAGGAGGGGAAGGCAGGACGCGCTGCAAAGGCCAGCGAGTCCTCTGGGGAAGCACTAGGCCCTGGGTGCACACTCAGGTGGACGATACCCGCAAGGAAGATCTCAGCGGCGGCGGAGTACTGGGGACAGGAACGCGCAATGGGCTGAGGCCTGAAGCCAGGGTGGGCTACTCAGGACGAGGCCACGCTGAACATCAGCGCGAGGGGCGCCACCCGAGCTGATGGCATGGGGTCAGGCCCCGCCGACCCTGACTGGAAGTGCCTGGGGTGGTGGAGCCAGACTTGGGCCCTAGGAGGGACCCTCCGCTGGCAGAAGGAGTTTAACTAAGGAAACCGATGCTGAAGCTGCGCCCCACCTGCGGCCCAGAGGGGGCCGCGTGTGCCCGGTCCTCCAGCCCAGACCGCGTCTCGGTCCCTTGGCTGCCCTGGCGTCCTGCAGTGACCTCCCGTGACCCCCGGAAGCCCTCACGGCCCTTCCCACACTCCCTCAGTGAGCTTATCCTGATTTTGGCTCATCAGTCCCAAATCCTTGTCTCCGGTCGGGGCCTCTCCCCCACGAGCCCCGCCTGCATTACAGCTCCACGGCAGTCCCTCTGGCCTCCTCCCAAATTCACCCTGCTCCAAATGACCTCAGCTATCCCCAGCCTGCCCTTCCTCCCTCCCAGGACTCCAGGCAGAAACGTGGCGGCCAGACCGCCTCTCCCCTAGCCTCCCGGCTCCCGTCCCTCACCAGATTCCGGCACTGTCCTCAAGTTTCAGTCACTAGCACTTTCACCAGGGCTGCAGCCTTGACCACTTCCCTGCTGTCAAAGGCTTCTCACACCCAAATCTCACCCCAGCACGCTCCCTGTGGACCTCTGCCGATCACATGGCGAGACTCATTTTTCTGCAGACACCCAGAGAGTGTGACCAGAGCCCGCCACACTGTCCTGAAGGAAAGTTGGAACAGCCTTGGGAACTGCTACTCTAGGATGTCTGAAGTCCTTTCTAAGCCAGCTATCACCTCTCGGATCCCAGGTCCTTCCATGTGCCCTGACTGCAGTCCCGCAGATCACACTGGTCCTGTGAGCAATACCTTACACTTCTCTTCCTGGTGAACTCCTACTCAACCTTTAAAACTCAGTTCTCAGTCACCTCCTCCAGGAGGCCTTTCTGATTCCCCAGCACTGTTTCTCAGAGCCTAGCAGCTCATCCTGCCAGAACCCCAGAGACAGGCATCAGGCAGCTTGGGGAAGGGGCTGGCCTCAGCAGGGGTGCCAGGCAAGTCAGTGCCCCTCTCGGCCTCAGACCCAGAAATAAAAGGGTTTGGACAGAGTCCAAGCTTGCACCTGCTGATGCTACTCGTGGGAAAGACCCCAGGCGATGAGGAGCAGAGGGGTCACAGGCTGGGAGAAGGGGGTCAATGGCCGATGGTTTCCTCTGGGACATGGGAACACCCCTTAGGCTGCTGAGGCAGAGAAGCTACAACCTCTGGAACTGGGCCTTTGGTATTTGCAGCATCTGGAGCTCTGATGGTGTAGTGGATAAGGCACTTGACTGTGAACAGGAAGGTCAATGGTTCAAATCCACCAGCTGCTCTGTGGAAGGAGGATGGGGTGATCTACTTCCATAAAGATTTATAGCCTTGGAAACCCAAGGGGGTCGCTATGAGTCAGAAATGACTCAATGGCAACGGGTTCGGTTTGTTTTTTTTTTTTTTTTGGCCAAGTAGTCAACAGAGTGCCAGGCTGAGTTAGAGGAGAAGTAGGACCTACATGGGGTGTAGGGCTTTGCAAGGGGACAGGGCCTTACAAGGGGGCATGGTCAAGCTCTCCTTGACCCCTAAGCTCTGCCCTCCCCTGCCCTGCAGGTGTGCCTTCTGCCCCTGATCCTAACACCTCAGGTGTGGTCCAGAACAGGGTGTGGCTGGGCCTGGCTCTGAAGACTAAGTGGCGTGGGGGTGGGTTCCTGCTTCTCACAGAAATGAATGAATATTGGTGGGAGAAATGCCAAGGGTGGCCTAACCTCAGAGACCCCCTGCAGTGAGTGGCCCAGCCTCAGGGACCCCCCTAAAGTGAGTGCCAGCCCAACCCTGAGCTAACCCTTCAAACTGGTGCTGGGAGGCTGGGAGCCAGGCTGGGGTCCCTTCCCTCCTCATGTCATGAACAGCGTGGACCCTTGTATACACACGCACACATATGGCAGTGTCTTCTTTACTCCTTAAGTCCCCTTATCCTCAAAGAATATTTACAAACAGGGGCAGGACAGTGGCAAACATGTCACTGATAATGGGCCAGGGAGTGGGGGCAGTGCTAAACTCCTCCGCAAAAGGAGCGTTCCTGAGGAGGGCTGAGGGCCCGTCGTGGCCCGGATGGATGCTCGGCAGGGCCTGGGCAGTTCTGGGCGGGACCCGCGTCAGGCCAGGTCGGTGGTGGGTGAGCCCAGCTGCTTGGAGGCCATGAGCAGGCGGGTGGCCGCGTTCTCCGACTCGGCCTGCAGCCGTCGGTTGTTGTGTCGTAGGCTCCGCACCTCCTCCTCCAGGGCTGCCTTGTCTGCCTTCTCCTGGACGGGCAGGGGCGGCCCGAGTGGCAGGAGTCAGAGCGGCCGGCCCTCCTCCAAGGGGCAGCTCCGGCCCCCCGCTGCCCAGCCCCTCACCTTCTGCAGGTCCTCCTGCAGCTTTCTGAGCATGGACTCCAGATGAGAGACCTTCTCTGACAGGCTCCCTGGCTCTGGCCTGGGGACATGGGGGTCAGGACTCAACCCTCGGGACGGGGGCAGCCTCTCAGCCCCACCTGGGTGAGAAGGGTCCAACCCCTGTCTTAGGCTCAGGTGTTCGTGAAACGGAGCCCCAGAGCGAAGCTTAGCCCCAAAGGACACCCAGTAACGGCAGTGGCACAGGCACAGGACAGGCACTATCGAGCAGAGAACCTTACTCAGCATCAGATCTGGGGGGTCCCTTGGGGTCTCCACCCTGGGGGATGGGCTGTCCTGTGGAGACAGAGGGACTGTGTGGGCAGCTGGATGAGGGGAGAAAGCCCCACCCCAGCTGCCACCCCCAGGCCCCGGCGGCCTCACCCTCCCGAGACAGTGACTCCAGGATGGTGTTACACGTGGAGGCGATCTCCGAGATGGACTGCCACTCGTCCTCCAGGGTCTCGCTGCCTGCCTCTGACATGACTGCCGGCACAGGATGGGGCTCAGGCGGGGGCCGGGCCAGCCCCTCCTGCACCCTCCCTCCACCCCCTTGTCCAGACTCACTCTTGCTGATGGAATTCCGCAGAGACAAGGTTCGTGGCAGGATGGAGGTCCTCAGCTCTGGGGCCGGGCTGTCCCTGTCCTCACAGCCACCACGACCACCTGGTCCATCCTAGGGGCCAGAAATATGGGTGCAGCCAAGGTGACACCCACTGGCACCACTGTGCCCACCCTCCCCTGGTGGATCTGAGTCTTGTTTCTGCTCACCTGGGTGGGAGGTGTCTCCCTGCCAGCACTGGGTGCTGAAGGCTTGGCCGTGGTGGCTAGAAGGAGGTCTGGCGTGGTGTTGGGGAGGATGGGCGCCTCATCCGACAGGGAGCTGGGGAGAGCAGGGTCAGGTCAGCGCGAGCAGCTTTGCGCCACGGCCACACTGGGGGAGAGACAGGACCCAGAAGGTGCACCTGCAAGGCGAGGGTGAGTTCTGGCTGTGCAGGAACTCGGTCCTCTCCTCAGCCAGGTCCCCAGGCCCTGGGGGGCCCCTGGGGGGCAGGCATAGATGCAGGAGTTGCTCTGTGGCTGGCAGCAGGGCCAGCCCTGGGGCCTCATCTGACACTGGCTCTGGGGCGCCCCGCCGGCTGGGCTCTTGCAGAGACAGGGTGTACAGCTCCGAAAAGCTCCTGGTGGGGGAAGGGCAACGTCAGACAGCAGCCCTCCTCCCCCAGCATCCTGTAACCCCTGCCCAATCCCAGCGATGCCTGGGCCTCCGCTCCAGGAAGGAGCACAGCTCCCAAACTCCCCGACGACCACGAAAACAACGTCTGCCTGGCTGCTGGCCATTTTCCCAGATCTATGTTTAAACCCCAGTGCTGCCCCTGTGCATCCTGGGCAAATCACTCAGAGCCTCAATTTCTTCATCTGGGAAATGGGGATACAGTAGCAATCTCATAGGCTCTGAGGATTTACAGCAACACTGGTAAATGTGTAGCACTGGGATCTAGAACCTTCTGCCTGGGGGTCAAACCCAGCCCTTGGCCTGTGCTTCTCCTGCTGTGAACCAAGAATGTTTTTAAATGTTTAAAAAATTCAAGAGAATATTTCATGACATGTGAAAATCATACAAAAGCCAAATTTCAGTCTTCATAAATGGAGTTGCAGTGGAACACAACCATGCTTCCTCGTTTACATACTGTCTTGTGGCTGGCTTCGTGGGACAGCGACAGTGGCCAGATGGCTCCCAACTAAAACCACTGCTGTCCGGCCGATCCCAACTTGTTGTTGTTGTTGTTATTTGCCGTCGAGTCAGCCCCGACTCATAGCGACCCCTCCTTGGGTTTCCGAGGCAGTATCACTACGGAAGTAGGATTGCCCAACCTTCCTTCCGAGGAGTGGCTGGTGATCCCAACTTACAGCAATCATTTAAGACACAGCAGAACTGCCCCATAGGGTTTCCAAGGCTGTAAATCTTTATGGAAGCAGACTGCCTCATCGTTGTCCTGCGCAGCAGCTGGTGAGTTTGAACTGCTGACCTTTAAATTAGCCGTCCAGTACTTAACCACTACCCCACCAGGGCCCATCCCAGATGGCTCAAAAAAGCCTCAAATGTTTACTTATCCGGCCCTTTACTGGTACAGTGAATCAGTTAGAGTGTGTATCCAAACCAAACCCACTGTCATGAGTGGATCCGACTCACAGCGACCCTCATTGGGTTTCCAAGCCTGTAAATGTTTAGGGATGCAAACTGCCTCATTCTTTCCCAGAGCAGCTGGTGGGTTCGAACCGCCCACATTCTGGTTAACAGCCAAATGCCTTAACCACTACATGAGGACGGGGCGGGGTAATTACAAGAGGAGGGCGACTGCTGGTGAGTCTACCTTCCGAGCAGGAAAAGCAGAGTGAGCTAGTTCCCTTCTACAGGTGGGATGAAGTGCGGCTCAGATTGACTGCGATGCCTAAATTCAGCCGCCCACCGGGGACTCTCGAGAGCACCGTATGGCGGCACAGGAGGCCTGGGCCCCACGGTGGCCGATGGCGTGGTCCCCTCCCCGAGTCCCGGCGCCCTGACCTGCGCGGCCGGCCGCTGTCGTCTGGGGGCAGCACGGTGACGCAGACCTTGGGCGCTGCGCGCAGCAGCTGGGCGGCCGCGCCAGGGCCGAGGCGAGGAAGCGTCTGGCCGCACACGCGCAGCAGGCGCGCCCCAGGCCGCAGTCCCGCCGTCTCCGCGAACGTGAAGCGCTCCACGTGTGTGACGAAGCCCTCGGCGTCGGCGTCGAAGCCCAGGCGGCCTTGGCCGTCTCGGGGTAGCGCCAGCTCGCGGGTCTCGCAGCCGCGGCTCACCAGCTGCAGGGGTGGGCGGGGTGTGGGCGTGGCGTCCAGGTGGAGCGGCCACAGGCCCCACCCCCGAAGGTCCCCGCCCCAGGCCACACCGAATATTGCACAGCCCGAGAGCAGAGCGTGGCAACCCACCAGACAGGTGAAGAGAGCAGGCCCAGCGACCAGTCACTGGCTGGGTTCGCTCCAACTCACGTCCCCTTCGACTGCACAGCAGGCTGGAACGCAGGCTCCGCCGCAGAGTCACCTATGGCCCGTGCCCCTCCACCCCGCCTTCCCCTGCGCCTCAGTGCCCCACACAGGCTCACCTGCAGGCGCGCTACAATCTCGCCCACGGCCTGGCCTGTGGGTCCGTCCAGTCGCAGGGTGATGGCCTCCCCGTGGCCGTAGTACAGGTCGAGCTGCTGCTCGGAGAAAGTCCAGGCCAG